AAAGCAATGAATGTTTTTCAAATACATTTAAAGCAGTTTATGATGTAGTCAGTTAAAATAAATTTTTAAATATAAAATATGCAGTAAATAGAAAACAAAGATATTATGTAGACACGAATAGGATTACTACAAATTCCATGTTATGATGCCATAGAAAGATCCTAAATCTGGCTTTTAAGCTTTAAGTAGCTAATGTGAAGAGGGAAATAAAATCAGTTCTAAGATTCCCAGTGTTCCTCAATCAAAAACATACTTGTCAGTCTAGGAGTCTAGGGAATGGAGATTAAGGCACATTTAGTCCTGGTATGGGAGCTCTGGTAGCGTAGTGGTTACGAATCGGGCTGCGAACCTTAAGGTCAGCGGTTCGAAACTACCAGGTGCTCCGCGGGAGAAAGATGAGGCTTTCTACTCCCGTAAAGATTTACACCCTCGGAAACCCTATACAGGGTCGCTATGGGTCGGAACCGACTCGATGGCACATAACAACAACAACAACAAGTCCTGGTATGGTGCTGTGGGTTAATGAGATAGACTGCAAGGTTGGTTTGAACCACAAGATTGGCAGTTCAAGCTCACCAGCCACTGCTCAGAAATCCTACACACGGTCACTCTGAGTCAGAACCCACTTGATGGTCTTTAATAAGAATAACAGCAACATTCCTGATACTTGGGAGAAAGATCAGACTTTCTGCTCCTGCACAATTCTGCAGCTTTAGAAACCCTATACCGAGTCATTATGATTTGGAACTGACTCAATGGCACTTAATAACAATAACATTCCTGATACTGGAGTCCTATGGGATAAGCACTGGACTGCTAACCATAAAGTCAGCAGTTGAAACCCACCAGCCACACCTTGCAAACCCTATCCAATGTTCATTATGAGTCAGACCAGACTGAAAGACACTTAACAACAACAATTCCTGTTATTATGACTGGAGAATTTATTCTTATAGAAAAACACTAGAATCAGCGCAGTGATGCTTCATGATAATGAAGGCTGTCATTTATTGAATTCTCACCCTGGTCCAAATACTTCGCATGTTGTTGTTGTTTTAATGTGACTGGCATGGAAATCCAGAGTTTGCTAATATACTTGTTTTACAGTAAGGAAACTGATATTTGTAGAATTTAAGTAACTTACTGTCTTCGTTTCCTAGTCTGCTATAACAGAAATTCAAAGATGTCTTGAGAGAACAGATTTTTTTTTTTTTTTTTGTCCTTACATCTCAGGAAGCTGTTGTTGTCATTGTTAAGTGTGGCTGAGTCAGTTTCCAACTGCTGAGCTTGCAATGAAGAGACCAACACGTATGTAACCCACAGTGACATCAGGATCTTTTATAATTGTTGTTGGTAAGTGCCATCAGGTCATTGCCAACTCATAGTGACTCTGTATAGGGTTTCCATGGATGTACATTTTTGTGGGAGCAGAAAGCCTCATCTTTCTCCTGTGGAGCAACTGTTGGGCTCTAACCGTGGACCTTGTGATTCACATTCCAGTGCTTATCACATGGAGACACTGCACTCCCATCCTTTATAGTAGCACATATAACTTACATAGGTGAATTACTTAGTATATGTACTTTGGAAGGTAACAGTGGTTAAGTGCTGGATTACTAGCCAAAGGTTGAAAGTTCGAACCCATCCAGAGGCATCTTGAAAGATAGTCCTGCCAATTGGCTTACAAAAGATGACAGCATTAAAATCGCTAAGGAGCACAGTTTACTCTGTGTACATGGGTTTGCCCTGATTCAAAATTGACCTGAGGATGACAGCTAACAACAACAATACAATAATAATATATATTGATATATAAAGCATTTAGTTTTATATACCAGGCAGGGGTGGGAAACCTTTTTTCTGCCAAGGGCCTTTTGGATATTTATAACAACACTCAAGGACCATACAAAATTAACAAAAAAACAAATAATATGATAGCTGGAACTACAGTTGCCTCAGCAGGGCCAGGCCAAATGATTTCGAGGACCTTCTAAGGAGTTCTGGTAGTGTAGTGGATATACATTGGGCTACTAACATAAAAGTCAGCAGTTACAAGCTACCAGCCATTCCACGGGGAGAAAGATGAGGCTTTCTGCTCCTGTAAAGATTTATAGCCTTAAAAAATACAGGATCTCTGTGAGTCAGAACTGAGTCTACAGCACACCACCACTATCACCACTGTGTGGCCTGACTGGACTTTCCCCATCCCTGACTTTAGGTATCTGTATTTACCCATCCCTCTAGATAGCCTGGGTTCCTGGTATGGTGTACAACAACAATTATATATTGAAATTCAAAAACAGAAAGAAAAATTTCCAAAATGGTTTAAAATAGTAATCTCAGGATGGTAACTTATGAATGATTTCTTTATTATTTTTCTTTTACACTTTCTGTTTTTCTATAATATGATTTTTTAAAATGTTTTATTGTGAATTATGGGATTGTTTACATGGGAGAACGTTAGCTTTACATTCATCTTATCATATATCATTTCATTGCCATGGTTACAATCCCCTCCATGCATCATCAACCAACCAAAGGGTACACCCTACAAGCCTGCCCCTGGTCATCAGCACACAGCCCCTCTCCAGGTCTAAAGTCCCCAGCCACTTCATCTCTCCATGTCATTGTCTCTGTCTCTATCTCTGTCATCACTGCTTCTCTGGGTAGGGTCCTGTTCTCCACTCTTCTCCCTTGATGGTCCCAGGGATCTCCACACCTAGACTGTAAAGTCAACCACTCCCCTCCTTTTGCTACAAAATGTCCAACCCTCACAGTCAGTCCTGGTAACAATTATTCACTATTGGATCACAAGAGACCTATCCCCATCTCCTTTCATTAGCCCCACCCAGACTGTACTACCCAGTGGCGATTCTACCTTCCTCCATGCCCTCTGGTTCTAGGTTCCCTCTTGAAAGCTTGTAAGCAAGTCACTTCTTGCCTTTGTAACACCCCCTCCCCATTTTGGGTAGCCAGTGTCCAAGTTGCCCATTCCTGTCTACTCTGTGTATGGATGGGGTGGGAATGATCCATGCTGTAAAAATTTGTTCCCTCTTTTGAGCTATTGCATCCATAGGTGGAAGTCAATTTCATCAAATTGTATCAGATTACTCTTTTTTTACCTCTTATTTCTTCTTCTAGTTGAGCTCTGATCATTCAGTCATTGAAGCCAGGCCAAGTGGGTATTAACTGCAAGTGTGGGTGTTCTTGTGCGTATACCCTCTTTTCTTATCAGCAGGAGGCTTCACTCTCCACTCTAGTCCTCTGTGGCTATGTCACTGACTCTGGGCTCAAGATTCCCCAGGTCTTGCCACACTGCTAACCAACCAGGCCTTCACCCGGGTTTACAGGAATCTATTGAACATTGTACGGCTTAGCTCGCAGCTTCATTGCTCTTTTTCCCTCACTTTCCCTTATCCGTGATGAATGTGGTCACCAATCAGAGTGTGTATTCCCATTGAGTCTTAGTTTTAGAAGGGATTTGCCTTGAGGGGACCTGACCACTTTCTTTGATGTCTCCTGGGTGAGCAACTTGCTTGCTTTTGTAGTAATCAGCCAGAGTGCCTATATTGTTTTGTATTTTTCCTGTGGGTCTTTTTTTCAAGAAGTATCTTCTGTTCTTCTAGCTGCTCCAGGTTGGTCTGCTTGTCCTTTCAAGTGGAAATTTCCCACCTCAGAAGATTCTGGATGAGGTTCAGGATTCCACCTATGGTCTTATGTAATGTAGAGGCTCCGCAGGAAACCTCCTTCACTAGGCAAGTCGTAGACCCATTTTAGGTGTTCCAATCAGTTATAGATAGAAGACAGACTTACAAGCTTTCTATTTTGATATTTCTGGCTAGTCCTTTCTCTCCACCTCCAGTGTCTATTTTATAATGATATGCCAGGGAAACCAAGATTCAAAAGACAGCCAAGCATCTTAACATTATTCCCCCCATTTCCCCATTCAAACAATGTCTCAATCCCTGTATCCCAGAGCCCTGTTGTTCCAAGGTTGTGCATACATCATTATTTACCTCTGTTCCACTTAGCCCATGCAAACCTACCTAATTGTTTTGCTGTGCACTTTGTTCTTCCATTCCCCTCACCCTTCTTGTGTATTACCCCCCTCCCTAGCTATAATATGATTTTTCAGTGAGAAAAAAATTTCTAAAAACCAAACCCACTGCCCTCAAGTCAATTCCAACTCCTAGTAATGCTATAGGGCAGAGTCCACCTGCTCTTTAATGTTTACGAGACTGTAAGTCTTTTTGAGAGCAGACAGCCTCATCTTTCTCCATGGAACAGCTGGTGGCTTCAAACCACCAAACCTGTGATTATTAGCTCAATGCTTACGCCAGTACACTACCAAGGCTCCATTATAGTGAAAGCAATATTTTTAAAGAGAATAAAAATATGCGAAAGAAATCGTAGAATGGAAAAATCTTTGTTATAATGGCAATTAGAACAAGGTACTTGAACAAATTCAGCAATGTGAAATGATAAAGCCAAATATCATATCAAATAAAATATGCAAAAGAAACTCTGGCATGTTGGTAACAAGAGGTACTACCAACATTCTACTTTAAGAAATTTTGATGTCCTTCAAGATCACATGACAATTTAAGTTTGAAACTTTTAATTTGATATTGAGGATGTAGATTCTTGAGGTAGAAGAAGGAGAGAGCCAGAATGAGAAACAGATAGAGACAGAGAAAGGGAAAGAATGAAGTGAAAGGTCTTCCACTGGAATGGAGGAACAGAAACACAGAGAAAGGAGAGGAAATGGGAAACAAGGAGGAGAGGGATTGCAGATAATATTCGGGGGCATTTGGCATCTTCCCAGAATCAGAAACATGCAAGCATGGTTATTAGATGAACCCTGAGACCTAAGTACTGTTCATGCTCCTATGTTTTCAAGCTTCAGATGGATGCCAGTGTTTGGCATAGTGGCATAATCCAGCTAGAATTTGGGAGATCTCCAAAAATTAGACACATTAGCACAGCAAGGCAAACATTACTGTCTTTGGGCATTCAAGGAAACCAGATTTAAAGTATTTTTTGGAAGTTTAGTTGGCACAGGCATCTGGTACCTCACATGCTTCCAGAATTTGGAATTCAGGGACCATTTGTTAGCAACATGGTCTTCTCTCCACTTGATGGTACCTTGCACCTTCATAAGGTGCTCCAGAGACTCTTGAAACTTCCCAAATTGCAATCCGCCTTGTTCACTCAGTGGCTCCATTTCAATAAGAATCACTTTTGAGTTGTTCTGAATGAGTGCATTATGCAAGGCGATCTCCTGCTCATAGGCGAACTCCGGGTTGTTCATTATTTGAGGAGTCAGGATAAAAATGTGCCGTCTGCTCTTTTGTATGTTGGCCTCCACTTCAGTGGCTGCATCTGGTCATAAAAGAAATGAGGATGAGTTTCTACTGTTTCTCTTTTAAATGCAATACTTGGATCATAAATATTCTGAACTTAGAAACAATTATTATCCTTATAATCCGGTATGAGAATCTGACATTACTCAATGTGCTTACTCAGAAAGGTACAAATGTGCTTGAATGGAGAACACCTTGAGTTCTTGTTAAGCCTTTCACAGTGAGACTATCTGTCTCAATGCTGTCTTCTTTCTCCTATAGATCAGTCCTAACTAAAACCAGGGGTCCTTCAAATTAAAAGGGGGGTACCCCTTATCATTATCATAACCATCTTATCATTTCAGGAGACACTTAGAATTCAGCTGCATTCACTACGTATGATCTGTTTAGAAGTTAGCTTATATGTTTAAAGGGACTTAGAATTTTAACTTTTACATAAGAGCACAAACAGAAAATCTCAGTATTAACAAGCTTTTAGGGAATTTCTGGATCTACTTTACCCCCTGTCATTGTTGTTAAGTGCCTTTGAGTTGGTTCCCAGTCATAATGACCCTGTACAGGGTTTCCAAGGAGTGGCTGGTGGGTTTGGATCTCTGACCTTGCGGGTTAGCAGTTCAGTGCTGCTCCTACAGCACCATACCAGTGCTTTCTATTTTAGGAGCTGATTTGATACAGACCAGGAAAACCTTACCAAAGACTGGTTCACCTTTCCAATCAGTGTTTATGAAACATCAACACAATGGTGATTTCACATTAGTTTCTGGCTGGATTATAAACAGCACATAAAACGCCTAGTTCTTACAGCAGAGAGGTTAAAGTATGATCAAGAAAACACAACCTAAACAAAATTACTCAACATATCCTTATACTGCTGCCAATTCTGACTCATAGCGATACATATAAGGTTTCCGAAGCTGCAGATCTTTACAGAAAGCCTCATCTTTCTCCCATGGCTTGTGTTTAGCACTCCAATGAATAACTACTATAAGTGAGAGCTCCTTATAGCTAAAAGACTGTAATACATATACTCTGAAATATGGGAGTAATAGTGGCCATCCTGGTGCAGTGCTGCAGGATAAGTACTGGACTGCTAACCACTAGGTTGGCAGTTCAAACCCATCAGCTACTCCTCACAAACCCTACACTGTGTCACTATGAGTCTAAATCAACACGATGACACTTAACAACATAACAAAACAAAGTGACAGATAAAGACTTTGTGTTAGTCAGGAGTATCACAGAAAATCTGTCATACTCAAAGGCACTGACTAAAGAAAGTTTAATGTGGAATTAACTTTGACTTTAACTTTTTAAATGCAACTGAAAAGATGTGGAATTGGAATCAGGGAACTTACAAGAATCAAGAAGAGGACATGAAATTAGGGGTATCATTGCTGACATCATATGGATCTTGGCTAAAAGCAGAGAAAACCAGGAGGATGTTTACTTGTGCTTTATTTGACTATGTGAATCATGACAAGGTATGGACAACATTGCAAAGAATGGTTATCCCAAAACACTTGATTGTGCCCATGAGGAACCTGAACTGTAGAGGCAGTTGTTAGAAAATAACAAAGGGATGCTGAATGGTTTAAAATCAGCCAGGGCTGTATTCTTTCACAATGTTTAGCCAATCTGTATGTTGAGCATATAACCCAAGAAGCTGGATTATATAAAGAAGAGAGAGGCATCAGGATTTGAAGAAGACTCATTAACATACTTCAAAATGCAGATGATAACAACCTTCTTGCTGAAAGTGAAGAGGACTTAGAATACTTACTGATGAAGATTGAAGACAGCAGTCTTCAGTAAGGATTGCACCTCAATATAAAGAAAACAAAAATTCTCACCACTAGACCATTAAATAATATCATGATAAATGGAGAAAGAAGACCTGGTGTAGCACTGTAAAATAAGCCCTGAACTGTTAACCCCAAGATCAACCATTCAAACCTACAAACTGCTCCTTGGAAACCTTATACACGAAGGCTATAAGTCAGAACTGACTAAATGGCACTTAACAACAACAAATGGAGAAAAGATTGAGGATGTCAAAAACTTCATTTTGCTTGGCTCCACAATCAACAGTCAAGGAAATAGCAGTCAATAAATTTGTTGCACTAGGCAACTCTGTTGCACAAGACTTATTTAAAGTGTTCAAGAGCAAAGATGTCAGCTTGAGGACTAAGATGTGCCTGACCCAAGCCATGGTATTTTCAGTAGCTTCATATGCATGTGAAAGTTGTACATGAATAAGGAAGACTGTAGAAGAATTGATGCAATTGAGTTATAGTGTTGGAGAAGAATAGTGAAACTACCATGAACAAGCAAATCTTTATTGGAAGAATGCTCTTTAGAAATAAGGACGATGAGACTTCATCTCTCATACTTCAGACATGTTACCAGGAGGGACCAGTCCCCAGAGAAGTACATCATTCTTGCTAAAGTGGAGATGCTACTGAAAAAGTAGAAGACCCATAAAAAGATGGATTTATGCTGTTGTAACAGCAATGGGCTCAAGGAAAACAATTGTGAAAATGGCACAGGACCCTACCCTATTGTGCGTAGGGTCACTATGAGTTGGAACCGACTCCATGACACCTAACAACAACAAAGGAGGGTTTTAAAAGGAGATGCATGAAGAAAGCAACTGACAAGAGCTGCCCTAGACATTGAACAGGGAGGAAGCAGGGAACTATATCTCACCCTCTGCTCTCCTGCCAATACGCTTATGGCCAAGCCCAGCCTAGAGCAGATAGCAAGGAGCTCTGTCAAGACATCCAATAATTATCAGCTGTCCAGGACCCCTGGCTGGAGGATTCCATCCAGATTGGGCTCCGAAAGGCAAATAGGAGATAAGTAGCAGGGGGAAAATGTACTGCATTAGTCAATCATGCAATTTTTGTCTAATGAAGAGTGGAGCTGTGAATTGTTTGCCATATATATATTTTTATTTGGAAGGAAAGATCAAAAAGACCTAAACTGAGACAAAGGAAGTAAGAAACATTTCCAAGGTAAAAACAGCACTCTAAAGACAGCATACCGTGGAACACCATAGAGCATCTTCAAGTTTGGTTAGGGAGAAATATGGCTAGAACTTAGATTGATGGGCCTGAGAAAGAATAAACGAAAAGATTACAATCAGAAATAGCACCTGGTTTGACATTATAAGCAACAGCAGTCTTGAAAGTTTCTAGAGGAGAAATGTTGTAGCATAAAAAGAGTATTTGAATATCATTGCATGTTATTTCCTAGCTGATGAGGAGAAGAGGAGCCTCAAAAGCAAAATAGGAGTTTAGTCTGATGAATTCTATGTTTTACAAATTTCTGAAGTGATTACTGTTGCTGTTGATATATGTTGTTGAGTCCATTCCAATGTATGGTGAACCGATATGACAGAGTGGAATTGTCCCACAGGGTTTCCTAGTCTGGAAAGGAGCTCTGGTAGCATAGTGGTTAGGAGACATGCTGCTAACCTCAAGGTTAGCAGTTTTAAACGACTAGCTGTTCCACAGGAGAAAGATGAGGCTTTCTGCTCCCATAAAGATTTTTAGCCTCAGAAACCCTGCACAGAGTCAGAATCAACTCAGTAGCACACTGCCACCAATAACAATCTTTATGGAAGCTGGTACAGTAGTCATGGAGTGGCTGATAGATTTGAACCATCGATCTTTCAGTTAGCTCCTGAATAGTTCATTATTGTGCTAGCAGGACTCCCTAAGTCATTATTAAATGAGTAAAACAAACAAACGAAAACAGCTATCAAGTCAATTTTTTCATTGACTCACCGTGACTCCTTATGTGCAGAGCAGAAGTGCTCTCTAGGATTTTCAAGGCTGTGACCCTCCAAAAGAGGATACCCATTCAAAGCACCTATGGGAGAATTTGAACTGCCAAACTTTTGGTTAAGTTAGTGTTTGAATGCTTAAGCATTTTCACAAGCCAGAGTTCATTATCTACACACCCCAGCACAAAAGAAATTCGCATGTTGTATGTAGCTTTCTATCTATAGGCACTTGAACCGCTCCTTTCAGCAGAAATGCCATTTTAAACCCGCAGTTTCCTTCACATTTATTTCATTGACTTATGTTCATGATGTCCCTGCTCCATATACACTCTAGGCCCTTTCTAGTCTTTGAGGAATTAGAGAAGACTTACTGTGAAGGTTCAAAAGTACCTGACATAAATGTGGAGGAGGAGAAAAACAGCTACTGAAATGACTGGAACAATTACAAAACTGTTAAAGAGACCTGAAAGCATACAGGAATAATAAGAACCAGAAGTCACAATTTTACTTGCTCTTGTGAGAGTATACATTTGCGACATTGTCACCAATATAAAGAAAATCAGACTCTTGGAGTGTTTTCAAATAGTTTGGCCAGTACCTATGGAAATGCAAACAAAACACTTCAAATCTTTAAGTCCTTCAAGCCTTCTAAGGATAATTAAGAAATGTTGGTTATGCTGGTAGGGGGTAGGTAAATTATGCTGGTAGGTAAATTATGCTGGTAGGGGTGTAAAGAAGGGGCAATTGTCTGCTAAATCCATATAGCAAAGGATGCCTTGCCCTGCCTTTACATCATAGATACTGTTGTAAAAATCTATGACTAGGGTGGAAATAGAAGTAGGGAGGTTGAAAAACTTTTTTAGGAAAAATATTGAGGTCTGGGGTAGTAAAACTACCATTCCTTGTCCAATGTGTAGAGAAATTCACCTATCTCATATGCCTCTGATAAGCATGTATTTTGTCCTTTATATATATTGACAGCATTACCTTCTCCAGGTAGCAGGTCTCTCCCATAAATGCATAAGTTATATCCACATTTATTTTCAAGAACATCAGGCAGAAGCTGGTGAACAAAGTACTCCACAGAACTTGCCCCCTCAGGACTACCTTTGTGGTTCCGTGGATAGATAACATAAGCATCATAGATCTTTCCATCTGAAAATGAAAACAAGAAGTGAAATTTGGTCTAAAAGATTTTTATTTGGCTCTTGGCAGACATTCCTTACTACCAGTTATGGTTTTGGAGAATGCATCTAATCTCCCCAGTTTTCAAGAAAAACATAAGGAAATCAATCTTGTTCCCCAAGTTCTCTTCCTTTGTAATGTCTCAGACAGAATAAAATTTCAAGATTAGTAAAAGTCAAGAGACTGTACATATGTATAGTACAAACCACATGGAAAGGCTTGATTAATAATTGATTGTTGTTGTTGTTGTTAAGTGCCGTCGAGTCGGTTCCGACCCATAGCGACCCTGTACAGGGTTTCCGAGGGTGTAAATCTTTACGGGAGTAGAAAGTCTCATCTTTCTCCCGCGGAGCAGCTGGTAGTTTTGAACCACTAACCTTAAGGTTCGCAGCCCGATTCATAACCACTACGCTACTAGAGCCAGTATTTACAGTCAGGGAGGGAGTCCTGGTGTGGCGCTTCAGGATAATGCACTACACCACAAAGTCAGTTTGAACTGCAATGTTGGTGGTTAAATCCACCTATACAGGGTCATTCTGAATGGGAGCCAACTCAACAACAATATCAACAACAGTCATGAAGAAGATGTTTTGTGATGCTGGCTAAATCTTAGTTTCTTGTGTTCGCCCCAAACTTCCCTAGGGAAGTCAAACTGTTAACGGCTAAAAGTGGAAAAGGAGTAAAATCTTTTGAGGAATCTGAATTCCTCACTAGTCAAACATTTAGCTCCTATTGGAGGCAACCATATGGAAAAATGTAACACATGTCTGCTTCCAAATGAAGGAAATGTGATCCTATTGAGGAAGCAGAAGTGTCTAATAGTAAAATACATCTGTATTTTTGATGAACCGATCTACTCTACTCACATCTGAAAGCAGGAACAATTTTGTTCATGTTTCTAATTTCATAAACTTCATAAAAGCACATGTCCTGAAATATTTAGACCTCTGAGCTTGGGGCAGATTCTAGTATTTGGAACTTATTATAAACAGTGATTGGGGAGAGTTGAGCATTAAGATGACTTTCAGGACCAAGGGGAGCCATGAAACAGAATGGAAAATTGCTTTTGAGTAGACTCAAAACAGATCCACCGATGATGTTAGCAAGCAAAATGCCATCAGGTTTATCAGTATAAGCTGTTCAGAGATTAATAGGCAAATAGCCAAAAATCATTATGAGTTTTTTTCTTTTGGAGAAAAAAATTGAAATTGATCACTTACCATTACGAGTTTTATAAGGTGTAACTGTAGCTCTCCATAGCAGAATAAAGTCAATCCAAAATACTTTGAGCAGTATTGCCAAGACACTGGTTAGCATTAAAAATACACTAAATCCTGCAATTATGTAGTAGGTGCTTTGACGATCAACTATTCAGAAGAAAAACTTATTAGTATCACTGAAACAAGGTAAAATAAATATATACATGTTGACCTCCATTGGAAGAACAAGAACTTTATAACCACTTAGAATTTTAATGACTGCTTTTTTAATCAGTAAATTTAACATTTATTGATCCTCCTATTCTGCAAGGTCAGTTTGAACTGCAAGATTGGTGGTTCAGACTCACCAGCCAATCCTCAGAAACCCTATACAGTGTAGCTATGAGTTGGAACTGACCCGATGACACTCGATAACAACAATTATGTACAAAAGGAGCTCTGGTAGTGGAATGGTTAAGTGGAATGGCTTCTAACTGGAAGGTTGGCCAACCAGCAGTTCTATGGGAGAAAGACACAGGGATACGCAATCTCCCATAAAGATTATAGCCTAGAAACACCAATGGGGCAGTTGTACACTGACCTATAGGGTCACTATGAGATCAGAAATCATTTTCACCATACCTAACAGCACCAGGCTAGGCATTACAGGGGATCCTATAATGTTTAAGAGAGAGTTCCTGCTCAGGTGAGATACAGATACATATGAAAACTTGAATAAGATGGGAAGTCTTCCAGGTAACATGACAGAGGCTTTTAGATAACAATTTCACTCCCTGCTAGGTTCAGCAAGTACGGCTTCCTTTAGGAGGAGGTCTGTGTGGATGGGTAGGACTCAGAAAACTGGAAAGACATAAGGAAATGTTCTCCTGACAAGAACGCTTGTTGAGAGCCAAAGTGCAGAGGTGGAAGGTATTTTCTGAGGTAATTTACATTGAGAGTTAATGGAAAGAAAAGTAGCAAAATGAATTAGGGCTAGAATCTGTGAAGACTTGACAACAAACTTAAAGCATTTTTGTGGGAATCATTCTTTCACCATACTTATTCAATCTATATGCTGAACAAATAATAAGAGCAGCTGGATTATATGAAGAAAAACATGACATCAGGATTGGAGGAAGACTCATTAACAACCTGTGATATGCAGATGATAGAACCTTGTTTGATGAAAGCAAAGAGGACTTATACTTACTGATGAAGATCAAAGACCACAGCTTTTGATATAGGTTGCACCTCAATGTAAAGGAAACAAAAGTCTCACCATTGGACCAACAAATAACATCAAGATAAATGGAGGAAAGATTGAAGTTGTCAAAGACTTTATTTTGCTTGGATCAACCACCAACACTCATGCAAACAACAGTCAAGAAATCAAATGACATATTACTTTAGACAAATCTGCTGTACAAGAACTCTTTAAAAAGTGGTAAAGAACAAAGCTGTCAGTTTGAGGACTAAAGTGTGCCTGACTCAAGCCCTGTTATTTTCAGTAACCTCATATGCAAGCAAAAGTTGGACAGTGAATAAGGAAGACCGTAGAAGAATTTATGCATTTGACTTATGATGCTGGAGGAGAATACTGAAAACAATGGACTGCCAAAAGAACAAACAGATTTGTGTAAGAAATATAGCCAGAGTGGTCCTAAGAAGCCAGGGTGACTAGATTTCGTCTTTGGACATGTTGTCAGGAGGGACCAGTTACTATAGAAGACTATCATGTTTGGTAAAGTGGAGGGTTGGAGAAAAAAGAGGAAGACCCTCCCCAGTGAGATGGATTGGCAAAGTGGCAGCAATGATGGGTTCAAATGTAGCAATGCTTGTAAGGTTGGTGCAGGACTGGGCACTGTTTCCTTCTGTTGTGCATAGGGTTACTATGAGTCAGTTACCGATACAATGGCAACTAACAAAAAATAAAAAAATAAAAAAAATTGAAGAGTTTTGATCAAGGTGTAAGCAAGTACTTTTCAAACAAGAACAACCTGATGATAGTAGAAGGTGTGTTTCTATGGAAAGAGACTTCAAGCAATGGAAATAGAATGAGGCAGAAATTTCTGAACTTCTTCTGGTGCACAGGTCCAGCGGGCAATTCCCTTCACCCTAGCATTCCACAAGAAACCTGAGCATCATGAGAAATCTGGAGCACAGACATCTCTCCCTGGATCTTTGATCTACATATTTATATAGGCTCCATTGGAGTCCCTAGGGGACTTTAACAGGTTTAAAGATATGAAACAGATAACTGCAGGGATTGAGGGACTATTTTTCTGGTGGTCTACCACTCAGGGTTGTATTTGTCTGATCTCATTTGGGGAATTTGTCCTCTTACTGCTTATAATGCCCTAAGAAACAGTAGCTCGTTCAATACTTAATCTACCCAGAACTGTCATGCTTAAGTTACCTTCAAAGAACTAAGAGAAATGTCCATTTTACTCAGTCTAAAATAGCAAGAAATCCAAAATGCTAGGATTTTTTTTTCTGAAATTTTTTCTAAGAAACATGGACGTTTTACTTAATTTTACTTAAGATGTCTAGATTGGATCCCAAATTTTAAATGAAGCACAGATCTTTATGACAAAATGAAAGCTTTCTTAACTATCCTATAGCAGTATAATTGTATTCAGTATAAATTGTTAAATGAATGCTACTGAATTCTAATCGATCTCTAAAATTATTGATTTGTGTATTGTGTCCAATAATTTTCTGGAGATGGGAACTTCTAATAATTGAATTTTATTTCAGACTAGGCTAAATCCCAACAAAATGGAGACAAATTTTGTTTTTGTTTTTGTTTTTTAAATGAAATGAGTTAACTTGTTTGTTTTGGGGGGGAGGGGGGATGTACACAAAAACAACAAAAGTTATTTTTTTTAAAGTAAATATCCTCTCCAGATCTGAGCTCTGGTAGCGTAATGGTTATGAATGGGTCTGATAACCTCAAGGTTGGCAGTTTAAAACTACCAGCCATTCCACGGGAGAAAGATACAGCTTTCTACTCCCGTGAAGATTACAGCCTCAGAAACCCTGTACAGGGTCACTATGAGTCGGAACCGACTCCACGGTACTTAACAACAACTATAAATAAAAATGTAGACTGAATTAATTTCATCTGCTATAGCCAATAGAAAGGAGCTCTGGTAGCGTAGTGGTTACGAATCGGGCTGTGAACCTTAAGGTCAGCGGTTCGAAACTACCAGCCGCTCC